ACTCTTTACATCTGTGTCTTCCCTCGCAATAGGTATTGTCTTCAACGGTCCGGCGCATTATCCTATATAACTCTATTAGTGTCATTTCTACCACTTTCGAAAGACACAGCCATCCCCTTGACTTCCGACCCTAGCCCCATCAGGAATCAACATGAGCGAGAAGCAACAGGCTTCAGAATTGGCCGAGAGCGTCTCTCATATGGAGAAACGCGAAGTCTCTTCAGCAGAGCAGCTAGGGCCCGAGTCTACAAATGTACCACTCCCTCCTTCCCTGTTCTTCCCCACCAATGAGCCCGCCTCGTTGAACGTACCCTTTAAACTATTCGCTGGCTGACATGTCTTGTGATTCTCAATATTGATTTACTAGGCTCTACAAATGGATGACGCAGAAATTGGAAGAATTAGACGCCGGATAGACTGGCGCCTCCTGCCGTTGTTGACAGCTCTGTACGTCCTGGCCTTCATGGATAGGTCCAACATCGGCAATGCCAAAGTGGCCGGCATGAATGCGGACCTGAACCTTACGGGGGCTCAATACAACATGGCTCTAACCGTTTTCTTCTTTCCTTATTCCTTGTTCGAGGTACCGAGCAACATCGTACTTAAGCTGATGCGGCCGTCCATCTGGATCATGATTTTGGTAATTTGTTGGGGCACGGTATGTTCACTCTCCAACCCCAACCCAACTCCCTTGAAGACCCTGACATATCATTTTGGCCATTGCGTCTTTTCGTCTCCTCCTTTCATCTCTGGGTTATCACTGACCTGTGCCGCCCTTCTGTATCTAGGTTCTCACCCTTCAGGGCATCGTGAAGTCCTACGGCGGTCTAATTGCTACTCGCGTAATGCTCGGTGTGACCGAGGCCGGCTTCTTCCCTGCCGCTACCTACCTCCTCACTACATGGTACTGCCGCTGGGAGGTACAGACACGACTTGCCCTATTCTTCTCGGCCGCCTCGTTGGCCGGCGCCTTTTCAGGCTTGTTAGCTTTCGGGATCCAACATATGGAAGGCATTGGCGGATTGAATGGCTGGCGATGGATTTTCATCCTTGAAGGAATATTAACGGTGCTCATTGGGGTGAGCGTCCCTTGGGTACTACCAGATTCGCCCGACGCGGCCAAGTTCCTCACGCAAGCCGAGAAGGACATCATCAACTATCGCTTAGCGCATGACTCGGGCACGGAGGCTGGCCGTGTAGGCACTAATGAGTCCTTTAAGTGGAAGTACTTGTGGGAAGTGCTCCTCGACTGGAAGATTTATCTGGGAGTCGTGATGTACTGGGGAAACAGGTGAGCAGAGATCCATCTCCTATTAATCCCTATCGATACCCATGATGGACGTCTGCCCATTGAAGAGATTGGGGAGACAAAAGACGCATGACGAAAATTTGGCTAACGAATTCATCGTGGACACAGCGTTTGCATCTACGGTTTCAGCTTCGCTGCCCCTACAATTATTCACGAACTAGGCTACACCGCCGCCCAGGCACAGCTTCTAACCGTACCCGTCTATTTTGTCGGCGCCTGCCTCACCTATTACCTGGGCTTCCTGGCCGACAAGCGCCAGAATCGGTGGCAATTTATTACAATCGCCTTCAGTATTTCCCTTATCGGCTTCATCGGTCTTCTCTCCATCCCCCACCCACGCCTGCCCGGCCTCACTTATTTCTTCCTCTTCTTCGTCCCGGGAGGCCTCTATCCCGCTGTTATCGGCGTCATCTCCTGGGTTGGCAACAACCTTGCCCCTTCGTTCAAACGAGCCATTGGCATGGCCCTGCTCATGACTCTGGGGAACCTAGGGGGTGCTATTGGCTCCAACATCTTCCTAGCGAAGCAGGCGCCACACTACTGGCTGGGCTACGGTTTCTCAGTGGGCATCCTGGTGGCGGGAATGGTGTCTGTATTCATTCTTCGTTTCGCCACCCGTTCTATCAACAAGAAGCGGGCCCAGATGTCGGAGGAGGATGTGTTGGCTAGGTATTCTGAAGGTATGTGCATGTGCACCGTAAAGGATTCATCACGATCCACTCTTCTCTACTTTTTTTATTCTTTTTTATAGGAATTCCCATGGATTCTAACGATGAGTGTTCTCTTGCAGCGGAACTGGTGGAAATGGGAGACAAGTCACCCTTATTCAGATATGTGTCATAGGGCGGGGGATCTAGTTTTACCACCGACGGCCGGTGTCCACGAGGAGAGATGGAAAGAAAGAATTGGGTGTAAGCATGTGTATCTCCGCTTGCTTAAATGTCACTTCCAGTCTAGTTTGTAACAAAAGAGATTAAGAACTTGCCCTGTGCCCAACCACTCCACAACGTACGACGTAGCATTCTCTGAGCATCCTCAGCACCTAGTCGGTGTAGCTTCTCATCTTGATTTGCGTCGCATTACTATTAATTCAAAAACACATTAGCCCGTGTGGCTTAGACGGGAAGAGCGAAGATACCCCCTGAAGAAATAGTTGGGTCCTTGCTCATCTCAAGGAGCAGCCTGGGCACGGTATCTTGCCGTTCATGGATCTTGCCGGGTGTGCTGTTGGGGCGCGGGAAAGAGCGGCAATAGAATCCCGTGCCTGTAGAGATACCATTTCCACCATCAAGGAGACGGGACCACTGTCTGGAGGATCCAGTCTTGAGCCACCAACGGGACATTTAGCTCATCCGATGTATTGCTGAAATGCGATGTAAAAACCTCGCACATCGATTCTTAGCCAAACAATGACTTCTGGCGTCCCTGTTGTCTAAAAATCGGCTCAACGACCTGAATCCCAACTCGTCCAGGTCGCTGAGAATTCTTCCAATGGCCCAATCATTCTCGTCTGCGCCCTTCTCCGAACCTCTCTGGTACACTCGTGGTGAGAGTCCCTACTACAATGAAAGCCACCATCGCCTCCGCCGAGCTGTTAGGAGGTATGTTGATGAACACATCATACCGAATTGTGAAGAGTGGGAGAAGAATGGCGCAGTGCCGCTTGAGGTGCGTGCCAATATCCCCCTATGCTGCTTTCATGCATGCTATCCCACTCTGATCATCGCAAGATGCTTGAATCATTTTTTGTACGGGGTGTTCCCAAGCGGCACCCGCATGAAACACGAATTAGTTGCCGTATACAACATACCGCCCAAACACACAGAGTCCCATCTTGTTCTCAAATGAACAGTCATATCCCTCCTATGCGTGTATTAACAGTCTTCCCGATGCCGAACCCTTAGGCCATCCGACATTTCGCCCGCAGCGGTTTTATGGCCGCCTCCCTCTTTCCCATGGCGGTAGACTACCTTGGTAGCCTCCGCCTACCCGGCGACATCCCCCCACATGAATGGGACGAATTTCACGATCTCGTGTTCATGGACGAGATCGCTCGCTGCGGGTACCTAGGTGTCATCTTCGGCCTTGCTTGCGGCAATGTTATCGGTGCCCCGCCCATCGTGCGGTTCGGCACAGCCGAGCAGAAAAACAACTATCTTCCGGGGATTTTGAACGGGGAGCTTCGCTTCTGCCTTGCAGTGACGGAGCCGGATGCTGGGTCAGACGTGGCCGGCATTACAACCACAGCAACGCAGAAGGGTAACAAGTATATCGTCAACGGGGCGAAGAAGTGGATCACCAACGGGCTGTGGGCAGACTATTGTACTGCTGCGGTGAGGACAGGCGGACCAGGTCAGGGCGGTATCTCGGTGCTGGTCATTCCGCTCACTGCGCCAGGCGTGACGCGGAAGAGGCTGGAAAACTCTGGCGTTTCTGCTAGTGGTAGGTTCACACTCGTCACTTAGATAACTGATTTTTTTGAGCACTCTCTCCCCCCCCTCCCCCCCCCCCCCCAAAAAAAAAAAAAAAGTTTGTCTACTGAGCAGAGCCAGCAAGCATCAAGAATGATTTGGCCTTGCTAATTAGATGCTTATAGGGTCCACTTATATTGAATTTGACGATGTTGAGGTACCTGCGGAGAACCTAATTGGGGAGAAGAATCAGGGATTCCGCATTATTATGTCAAGTAAGTCCCTCTCTGACTCGACCAAATTAGCTGCCCATGCACTTCTCATGTTCCTTCAAGTTTCATGGGCACTTGCAAGTTTGACACATGCTTTCTGAACGTTGTATCTTGGAGAACAACCATGCGCTAATTATATCCTATCCATTTCACTTTTCTACAGACTTCAACCACGAACGGACCTGGCTCGCTTGTACCGCTCTCCGCCTTGCCCGCGTTTGCGTTGAGGACGCCTACCTCCACGCCGTCAAACGTGAGACGTTCGGCAAGCCGTTGATAGACAACCAGATCATCCGCGCTAAATTCGCCATGGCCGGTCGCTCCATCGACTCTGCACATGCTTATCTCGAGTACCTCGTGCACCTGCTAGGCCGGGCTAAAGGTCGGGACCCGGCATCCGAGCCCGCTGGCATTGGTGGGCTGATTGCGAATTGCAAGGTGCTCGCCTGTCGGGCCCTCGAGCGGATAAACCGGGAAGCGCAACAGGTCATGGGAGGACTTGGGTACTCCAAGAGTGGGAAGGGTGCAAGGATCGAGCAGATCAGTCGTGACTTGCGTGTAATGGTTGTTGGAGGCGGGAGTGAGGAGATTCTAACCGACTTTTCTCTCAACCAGGAGGTTAAAGCACTCGCTTCGGCGAAGCTATAGGATGTCAGAATCAGACAAGTTGCCTGAATAGAATGGTTGTTAAATAGATTGACGCAGGTGTAGAATTAGAATGCGTCGAGAGTTTTTCATCAGCATGTGATGACTACATTACCATTCAGGTTCCAAGTTATGTCGGAGGAGATGTATGTACCTATCAGCTCATATGCTTCCCCGAACAGCAACACGGCCGTCTTGATATTTATTCGCGCCTTGGCAATAATTCGCGAGATCCACGCGTCCTTATGTTCGTGTCGGCACACCCGTTTGCGAACGAAGACGGTCGATTCTTTGACCTGCTGTGGCCGAACGTTGACGGTAGCCTACATACACACTCTCTAGTCTGGCCATTCCTATGTAGTTCTATAGCTTGCTATCCTTCCACCGTGGCTCCCTCTTCTCTGTGAATGCATCCAACCCCTCCTGCATGTTGGGGCCATCGTAGATCCGATTACTCCACCCATCGGCAAACAGTCGGTTTCCATCAGACACTCCTAAAGCCTCCCACCCCATCTTCAACCCTTCTCGCGTAATGATTACTGCATCGGGGCTATTTCCTGAAATCTTACGCGCATATTCTAGAGCCTTATCCACGCTCTGCCCGCGGGGCACCACGCAATTGCACACACCCCAATCCTTGAATTCCTCGGCCGAGACGATCCTCCCGGTCAGCGCCATATCTGTCGCCCGCTGCCTCCCCACCGTGCGTACGAGTCGGGGTAGTGCACCCCCGAAAGGCGTCACGCCGCGGCGCACCTCGGGAAGGGAGAAGGTGGCGTCGGCGTCGGCGATGACCAGGTCGCAGTTGACAACCATCTCACATCCGCCACCGTACGCAGGGCCGTTAACGGCGGCAATGATGGGTTTCTTGCCCTGGCGGAGGGAGATGCCGCCGAAGCCGGCCGGAGGAAAGGTCATGCGGATGCCGGATTTGTTGTTGGCCATCCATTCTGAAGAGAGGGTGTGTTAGATTTAAAACTCATTCCCTGATGGAAAGGAGAACGGGGAAATGCAACAGGCTTCCGTTGTTCAAATCGCAGGCCCAGCTCATATACCGTGATGTCTAATGCCCTTGCTTGCCAACCGCGGTGATAAGAAAATAAAAATCTCAAGGCTATGATGTTATGATAGAGGCGACAAAGGCAATGAAAGAAATGTACGCATACAGACACACCTTTCAAATCGGCTCCCGTGCAGAACGCCTTCCCAACGCCACTCAATACTGCCACACGACAGCTGGGCTCCTCATCGAACCACCGGAACACGGCGTCTAGTTCATAACTTGCCTCGATGTTCAGGGCATTGAGGCTTCTCGGCCGGTTGATTAGAACAAGGAGTATGCCCGGAGATGGAAACGAGATGATGCAGTATTTAGTAGAAGGCGGAGCGATTTTGGTAGCCATATTTCCCTCCAGCAGTAGTCCAGTAATCGTATAAATAGGCAGAAGGTTTTGTGATAGTGGACACGAAGGATAAGAAGTTTCAATAAACAAGAATACGTAAAGCCCAGAGATCAGACAGATTTGATGCACCAAATCTGCTTTTCTCTTTGGTCTTAAAGGGTCCAAGAGAGGAATTAAAAAGTGGTAAAAAGAGATAAAGCAGAAATTTACTCGTATCAACAGGATAGTGGTTGTTAGGAAGAAAAGTGTATGTAGAAGCTGAATGTCGCGGGACGATCTCTCCCAGACCCAGCCAGGTAAATGGGTCGGATTCCTGAATTACGATACCGCGAATGTGACGGCACGGTACGGCAATAGCCGAGATAGAAAGGATCAAAAACGGAAAAAAAAAAAAAAAAAAAAAAAAAAAAAAAAGAAAAAAAGAAAAGAAAAGCAACATGAAACAAATTGGGAAAGCCAGAGTGGAGGCTTCTTGGGGACGGTCTCGTCAAAGCGTCAGGTACAGGAAAGCGGAACCGTGGCTAGCTCGACCCGGAGATGTAGCCGTGCCCGTCCCCGGGACCCAGGCCCTGGCCCATGGGCATACACGCATACACGTACGGGAATAGAACAGGATGGTATACGAGAAATCCCCATTTAATCTTTCACTATTTAGTTTACAATTTGAGGTTTCGATGTGCCGAGTTGAGTTGGTATCTGCATAGTAGCCTTAATCAGAGAGCACCCTGATTAGATTCCGCTACGACAAGGCTTCTCTTCTTTGTTCATTTGTCTTCTTTATTCTTTTGGTTGCTTTGTGTTCTTTGGTTTCAATTCCCCTCATCTCCCCTCATCTCTCCAGGTTCAGGGGACTCTTCTCCCACCGCTAACGAGGCTCATCATGTCATGCCCCTTGCCGTCCGCGCTCCAGGCGCAGGCCCCTCTCGACCAGCAACTCTCGATTGTCCGCGGCTCTTCTAAGCCGGCCCTTTTCCACCTTACGTTAGGTCAGCTAGTTGACCAACAGGCAGAGAAATACGGCAACAAGGATGCCATTCTCACTAGCTGGACGAATGCTCGCCTGTCCTTCCGAGATGTGAGCCGTCGCTCCAAGGAGCTCGCGCGCGGCCTCATGGCCCTTGGTGTGCGCAAGGGTGATCGTATAGCCGTCTTCTCTGGCGATGACGAAAGATTCATTGATCTGTTCTTCGCGGCTGGGCGAATAGGCGCGGTACTTGTCATTCTAAATAAGACTTACACGCTCGCCGAATGTTTGCGTGCACTCGAACATACCGGTTCGTAGTAACCCAAGTTCGTCGCTAAACACAATCTCATTCACAAAAGGAGGCGAAAATCGCTAATGCTGACGTCAATGTACAGAGCCAAGCATCTTCTTTCTTTCTGATATAGTTAACCGGCGACTAACGCTCCCCATCCTGCAACATATACGACGCAACAGGGGTAGCCTCAGACATGTCGTGTTGATGCGCTGGGACGAGCTACCAACGCGTGCCGAACCGATCTGGGACGATGTCCTAGCTGTGGGCCGAGAGGTGTCGCCAGCAATCTTGGAGCAGCTCGAGGAGTCGGTCGATGTCCACTCCCTTGTCAACTTTCAATTCACCAGTGGGACAACTGGGGCCCCTAAGGCCGCAATGCTGAGTCACTTGTACGTCGAAACGTTGTAAATATTTCCTACGACCTTTTCATATAAGCAGGGTGCTGACTTTTCGCTACTTTCCGTGGCAGCAACATCACAAACAACGGCTTCATCATTGGCGAATATCTTCAATTGACAGATGAAGACGTAATCTGCTGCGCCCCCCCTCTATTTCACTGCTTCGGTCTTGTTGCGGGCTTATTGGCCGCCTTTACCCACGGTGCGACCATCGGATTCGCTGGCCGCGACTTCGACGCCGCCCAAGTGGTCGATATGCTTGTTCGAGAGCGGTGCACAGTGCTACATGGCGTCCCCACCATGTTCACTGCTATTATGAAGGAGCTCGACCGAACTGGCATTAAGATCAACACCCTAGTCAAAGGCATTGCCGCAGGCGCCAAGATCCCCCCGGCACTCCTCGACGAGATTGAGAGAAGGCTTGGATATAAACACGCGGCCATCACTTACGGTAACCATTTTACCCTTCTCCAAGCTCTTCACAATTAGAGACTAAGTTGGCTTTTTGTCTAATATATCCTTCTCGCCCACATAGGCATGACTGAAACATCGCCGGCCAGTTTTATGACAGCAGTGACCGACGCTCGTGAGCAGAAACTAGAGACCGTGGGCCAGGTCCTTCCCCACGTGACGGCCAAGGTGGTCGACGTTGACAACCGCATCGTACCTCGTGGCGTGCGCGGCGAACTCTGCGTCTCCGGCTATCTGCTACAGCAAGGCTATTTTAAGAATCCCGAGAAGACGGCCGAGGTTATGATTCGAGATGATGACGGCGTGGTGTGGATGCATACTGGCGACGAAGCTACCATCGACGAGCAGGGGTACTGCCGCATCACAGGCCGTATCAAGGATATTATTATCCGCGGTAAGTTATCCTTCGTTCGCCCTCCTCAATAGCTCTTCGGTCTACCAACTTCTTTTATAGGCGACATACCTCTAACACAGTCGATGCAAATCTAGGTGGTGAGAATATCTATCCCCTTGAAATTGAGGAACGGCTCCTGCGGCACCCGGCAATAAGCCAGGCCAGCGTCGTCGGCCTCAGGGATGAAAAATATGGCGAGGCGGTCTCTGCCTTCCTACAGCTACGTGACGGGCACGAGAAGCCGTCCTTGCATACGCTGCAGGCCTGGGTGAAGGAGGAGCTGGGGGCGCACAAGGCCCCACAGCATGCCATCTGGGTTGGTCCCGGTGAGCCAGTGCCTGCGTACTCTACTACCGGGACGGGCAAGATTCGGAAGGATATTTTGCGTGAGGCTGGCGAAAAGCTGTTGAAAGGGTCTAATGGCCCCCTTACGGCTAAGTTGTGAATCCAGACATGGATCAAGCACTATAAAAAAATAGTTGAGATGGAGAGTAGGATGGAGATGGGATGACTGGAAGATACGAGAAATCAAAAAGAATAAAGCTTTAGATAGTATTGTCAAGTCCCAATAGATAACTCGAGAAAACGTCACAGACGGCGCTGAACCCGTGACAAGATTCGGAAGGTTAGTTAGAAGAAAGAAGCTTAGCGAGGTGACACCATAAAAATTGCCCGGTACCAACTTCCCCTCACTTCATTGGTCTATCAAGTGTGCCATGGTACCTAGCGCAATACAGGGTCCCCGTCCTACTTGCGGGCCTGAAACGTTAAAGGGAGTCTCGACGTTGCCGTGCCTGACAAGGTTGGGTGCGCTTTGTGTCTCTGAACGGCAAGTTTATGCATCTAATATGGCCCTGCAACTCATCTGCACCTTACCGTACCCGGTGGTCAACTGTCGTATACAGAAAACTCAAAAAGACAAAAGTAAAGGGGAGGTTTAGAAATCAGCAGTCATTCCCTTCGATCTTACAATCTACTTTTCTAATTAGCCCTTGCCTTATCCCCGATTCCTTTTTACCTTAATCATGGCATAGATGGCAATTTATGTTGCTTCACTAGGTGGTAGCGTCCCCGGAAACCAACGAGGAGTCCTGGACGAGAGGGAACCCCCCGTAAGTATCGGCCATATTTCCGATGACATTGAAGTCGGAAAACTCAAAGAACCGACTCGGTGACTCGAAGAATATGGGCACCGGGTCAGTCGTCTTCCCATTGGACGGACTACCCGGCCGTGTGGGCGTCGAGAGCTCTGTGTAGTCCACACTCTGCCACAAGGTCTTCAAGTCGGCAGGTGACTGTCCAGTACCGGTATTTTGCTTGTAAGGATCGAGGATCAGGCGTCGCTCCTCCCTCAGCTTGTAGAATCGTTCGAGTCGGCTCGCCTGGTGCGATGAGATTCCGTTAGTGTACGTTTAGAAAATAAGCAGAACCTGCGCCCGAGTTCGTTGGCTGATGTGTTTACCATTAGGGCTGCATGCTTCCAATAACAAGACAACTCGTGCAAGAATTGCAATGCCGCCTTGTAATGAGTCAAGCCCGCCTGGCGAGTCTCTGCCCTCTCATCACTCATGGACAAGATATGGATAGTACCAGCGACCATGGTGCAGTAGCCATATAAAGAGGTGAGGATGGTAATATTATGATTCCTCACATCTTTCACGTCCGTGAGGTTTTTTGCATGGGTTCGGCATGTATCCCATACGTTTCGAAGAAAGCTTGGGGGTGCCTTTTGTTTCAGCTGTTGCAGGCGTTGTTGGAGAAGAAAAGGGTGATGGAGGAGGCAGTGGCAGAGGTGGAACACGGCCTTGGCATACATAAAGGACCCCGCTAGGTGTTCATCGACGGCTCCACCGGCATAGCATCTCCGCTCCAGGCTCTCCATCGCCGGCTCATTCAACCCAAAATGGAGCTCGAGTTGCAGGAGCGTGGACGAGATAGTAGTGTACGGCGAAGCAGGTGACCACGGTGGGCTCACCTGTGATGAACCTTTCCCCTGTAGTATATAACGAGACACACGACCCAAGACCGACACAACCACGACAATTAGTGCCAGAGGGCAACAAGAGTCTACAGCCTCCTGCTCTAAGTAGTCGTGACTAAAACACTCCAATGTGGGCGCCATTTCCTCTCGGCCTTGTCGCCAAGCTTCCTCCGAGCAAGGGAGCCGTACTCCGCACGTCTCGTCTTGGATGACAGAGAATCGCTCTCTCGAAAGAGAAATGAGTCTGTCCTGCAGGTAGAGACACCAGAAGGCCCTTCTGCGCTCCTCGCGAAAGACGACAGGGAGATTCTCTTCGGGTTCCATGTGCATGTTGGAATACATGGCGAGTCTAAGGCCAAATCCAAGTTTCATGTAAGCAGAGGCGCAGTTTCCAGCTAGGAAGAGAGTGAGATGTGTCAGCTAGGAGCGAAAGAAGTTCATGATACAAGTTCTACGGCGAAGATGACGATATAGGTAGGACAGGGCAATATAAACCTCCAGAAGAGAGCAAAAGGAGAAAGGGAACGATAACCGAGACTAAAAACAACTTGCCTGTGTGTTCAATGTTAACTATTAATACTATAGTCTGAATCACGTGGACAACCCCCTCGTCCGCAACGGCGCCGTCCCATGGCAGCTTCATGGCTTCCCATGCCCTCTTCGCATAGTACGTGGCATCATCAGTGACACTCAGTTGCAGATCGGGCAATGTTGAATACCGCCGTGCCGAAGAGAGAAGGCCCCAGACAAGGTACGGTGGAAGTTCTCCTGCAACAAGACGCTGGCGAAATGTCGGCTCGTGAAATAGAGAGTAGGGTTGGTTATGAAAAAAACGGAAGTAAATGTCAGCAGCAAGGAGGAGAGTGTGAACAGGTGGCAGCGTGGCCTCTGGCGCAGTTGGAAGAGACGGGAGGAGGATAGCACCGTGATCATTGGCATTTCCCGGATGGTGTGGTGGCTGGAGTTGATTATTAACGACTGACTGCACTGAGGACGGTTCGGCGAGTGGCTGTGATCCCGGCTGCGAAAATGTGAGAGATGACAGCACGGGGACCAACCTATTCAGTGGGTCAGTAGACGTAATGAGAGTTAGACAGGGCCGGGATGGGAAATTAGAGAGACGTGAGAGTAGGCACAAAATGAACGCGATTCCTTTTATTTGTTCGTCCTTATCATCATACCTATCAAGTACGCCCTCTATTCTGGACAGCCTGCCCTCTAGGGCAGAGAAGTTAGATGAGAAAGCTTCCTACAAACGGTAATCGGTCAGCATGCCGGATAAGATTTGACTGCCTTGCATCAACAACATATAGACATGCCGCATGCGAGAGTGAATGAGTCTTAAAGATTGGAACAAACATACAACGAGGGTATTAGAATCTTCGTGTGTGCTCTGGAAAGTAGCAGAGTTCCGAGGGTGGCTTCGTCCATCTTCGGCATATATGCACGTCTGTGACAATCGATCGCAGAAATTGCAGACCGGCTTCTCGCCGCCACATCGTACTTTTTTCCTCCTACATGGCTCGGCTGCATTAGGTCGACAGAGACCGAGACGGAAACATGACAAGATAGGGTTTATGTTCTAGCATACCTGCAGTTCAGACACGCCTGCCGTATTCTCTTCCTGCGCCCCTCGTTACCATCAGAATCATCTGCCACATCTGACATGGCTTAAGAAGGGGCAAGTTCTTTTTTCGTTGGTCGGTAATCAATAGAGGGCTCTCTCTAATGTGGGTGCAGGACCCAAAAAGTGTATTTAAAACCAAATGATCACAGAGAAGGAGAATCCAGCAAGTGGATGGACCGGGTATGATGAGGGAACGAAAAAAGCGGGGGATGTGCTCACACCGAGCAAGGCCCTGGTCTCTCCAAACTTTACAGGGGTTGGGACTCTCTACAGTTAAGTACACATTTTTGCCGCCGCTGGTCCATCGTGCTGGAAAATGGAGGGGAGCCTACATAGACTCAAGACGTAACAGTGTACCCCCACCCTTTATGAACTAAACTAAACTTAGTTCAGAGAATGCGGGGTTCTTGTGGGGACGGAATATTTGCGAATCCCCATGTACTTGTAGTCTAGCCTGAAGTGTCGGCTCCCATCTCCCCAACTTCCGAAGCCATCACAGCTATTTTAAAGTAATGACTCTTGATAGCCTTGGCCTTTCAAAGCTTGAATATGGGCTTCGTTCTAAAAATTTTACGCTCATGCGGTCCATGGCACTTCCATTGATTGGCACCATTAGTAGTGACATCCGACCTTCATTTCCACTATGCTTTGTAGTGTGGTCGATCCCAAGAGGCCAAAGTGGGGCCAACTACATTCTTCGGTAAGGTGGAGGACATTTAATTGGTTAAGTGTAGCCAAAACAAAGCACGAACTGGTACATGCCCAAGTGCATTTAAAATGCAAATGGCGGATTCGGAAAGTACTCAGCATCTGCACCTTGGAAAAGTGGCGATACAACTTATTTTTATCCCGGTGCCTACCCCCCCCTCCGAGTATAGCGAGGAGAGGGCCCTTGAGACGTAGGACTTGGCTGCAGATTATCTATTGTTAGCATCCCTCCGGTCTGAATCTACATGATCAGCACCAACAGCTAGATGAGTGGGGTGTGGTTTACAAAGTCGCATAATCTAATACTGGGTTCATCACGCTATCTATAACATCCAGCAATCACTCAAGTTCAGTGAGGAAAATACTAATAGCGGTATGATTGGGGGCGGGGTGTTTGCCTGGCTATTCCCCTGTGTTATTGATTTAACCACTCTGTGCTGAAGCGAAAAGGGAAAGGGGAGAAGGGACGAAAGGAAAAGGAAATTGAATGAAGAGAAAATGAGAATAGAAGTTTGTGGGCTCGTACGTCACTTTATGACAACAGCACCTGCCGTATGACACTTCCTACTCCTAGCACCTACTAACATGCTTGGTTACCTTTTATCTACAGGTCCGAACACTGCCTCGTTATACCTAAGCTCCGGACAGGGTCATCAAATCATCAAATGGCCCCAAGTCCTCTCCCTGAAGAAGATCGACCCAGTCCCTAGCGTCGCCAACTTGGTTATCTGGCGTTGGCAAGTCTAGTTTTACATATGTATCCTTATCCGTCTCATCACTCGATCCAGACAAGTCAACGCCATGGAAGCTTCTCTCCGCAGGTTCGTCCGGAGGAGTCGTGGCGCCCTCACAGATCGGGCGGCTTCCTGACAAGCTGGACGCAGAGGTCGGTTTCTCTGAAGCCCCCGGTCTATCAGAAGCCGTCCGCCAGCGACTGTGTTCGCGCGGCTCGACAAAGCTCCATTCCATTTCCATTGCGTCCTTGGCCAGCTTCGCCGCGGTGTAGATATCTTCCATTGACTCCATCAGTTGCCGACAGTGGTAATACCCTTTATACGCAGCCTCCCGATCGGCTTGAATCCGCCCCTTCACCTCGTCAAGATGGATGGCGGCCGCAGTGACCGCGACTGTAACCCCCATCGTGGGTAGATGCCGGCCCAAGTTCAGCTTATTAATATCATCAGCCATGCTAGAAATCTGCTTCGCCGCCTCTTGCATGCAGATTTTGGAGATCTCCTGCTCTAGCAGTGGCGCATCCGGATTGCGCGTTAGTGAAGTGAGCCGGGACCGGTGAAGATTGCACAACGCCGTAAAGTACAGCATATGCAACATAGTTCGATTAAGCGCCACGCTTGCTTTATCCTCTCCGTCGACTTCGGCCGGGGTTAGCCGACGAGGTCTGCAGCAGTCATGTAATGAATTAAACCATGCCCAAAGATCTCGACTGCAGGATACGAAGGCATCATCATTGTCCATTTTGAGAAGAAAATAGACGTCCGACGTATCATCCCCGCGATTCTCCCGAAAGACTGAGGAATGCGTTCTCAAGTAGGGCTTCATGCATCGACACAGACTCGCCATGGCCACACAGAGTTTAGTCAGCACAGCTTGCTTGTGTTCATCATGGATATAAGAGCACATCGACTTTAGTGGAACTTCCAGGCGGGTCCCATCCGGCATCTGGTCCAAACAAAAGTCGGCTTCGTCTAGCATCGCCACGCTCGAGTCACCCGACCGAACCCTAGGTGGCCGCCGCATCGCTATAGAGATGTGCCTGTCCCGTATGAAACATGACCACCAGATGCGCCGCCGAAGTTTCTGTTCTGCGGAGGGAGCGAGTGGCATGGCAAGGCTTGGGTCGCGGTGGAGCCCCGCCGCAAAAGCCTGTGAGACAGCCACATCGACCCAGTACCACGAATTGCGGTGATCGTCTGGAGACTCATACCACTGCGTCAGGAGTAGTGCGACTTGGACGAGTGTGAGGCGGTCAGTCTCGCAGTTGAAGTCGTAAAGCAGCTGCGAAGTAATGAATGTTAGTTAGCATCGTTGATAGGTCCGAAAATCAACAGTGAAGCCGAACTGTTTGTCGAGGGGTATGTAGAGAAGGTTGAGACGGCAAATATGTAGGGGTAAAGGTAAAGACTAACCAGGACTCTTTGGAAGAAGGTCTTATAGGCCAATTTCCGTGTCCTAAAGCCCGCTTCCCATATATGCTCCATCTCTACGTGGCTGATCCCAGCAAACAGAATTGCCTGGAACAATAACAAGCTAATCTGGCCCGCTGTCCCATCGCCTTGCCCGACGCAATGCAGGAACTCGTCAATATTGACGATCGGGAGATATGGGTATACAAATTCGAAGAAGGATAGCAATAGCGCATTCTGGAAGTTGATGCTGGGTAGCGACAATGCCCCCTTTGATTGGAGGAAGGCCATGTCTTCTGTAGCGAGGTCCACCTCTACCGGTTTGACGAATCCCGGTAACGGTACTAAGCCGTGGTTGTAGGTGGCATTTGGGATTAGAATGGATGCGTTCGGGGGCTCGGGAGATTTGAGGGCTTCTCGTGTATTGCAAGGTAGGAATGCCACGGAGTTGGATATGGTGGTCGTTTCGGATTCCGCAACTGTCGGTGTGCGTCTAGCACGTCTGCTTCAAGGATTCTTAGTATCTTTCAGGCACAGACTAGGCGGGCATCGGAGAACATCACAGAGGCTTCGATAGGGTATTGACGAAAGGGTTAGGATTCGAGGCAAGGATTCAATGGGGCAGGGACAGCGCAAAAGCAAACAGAACAAAGTTGCTTACCTGTCGCGACGCGGTTTCATCACGATGCACTCAACATCGCCCCACCTGCAGTTACCGCACGGCGCCCTCTCCACGACATCGCATCGGACCTTACGCAGACGGCATGCGAGACATGCTTGACGTGCTCGACGTGATCTGGGCTTCTGAGTCAGGGGACCTTTGGGTTCTGGGGAACCAGGAGTCAGGATCGGTACTGATGTTTCGATATCAGTCTCGTCGGTTCGCAATGGTGACTTGGACGGTTGCGGGCTGGAAGTGTTGCCCTCGGCAGAAGGGCCGACTCTAGGTTCCATGCTCATCTCAGCTTCCATGGCTACGAGGGAAGAGGTTCTATTTTTCTCTTTTTTACTTTGTTCGAGGACTTATTAGGTCGATGTATCTGCGTCTGGATTGGAAATGGGTGGCACATGTTTGTCTAGAAGGGGCTGCATCTCTTCTAAGGAGGCTGGTGTTGCCACTTTGGAAAGGGATAGACTCCGTGACGTCGACTCCGGTGCGCCGTGCTCCACGGCTTACTCAGTGCGGGAGTCCTCGTGTTGTGGAGTTGCAAGTAAGTCGTAATGCTTGTTGGTAGCACCATCTAGAAAAGGAGAGAAAAAGACCGACGCTACCTCAGCATACAGGGAGTGTAAATCCTTGGCCTCTGGGTCTGACCGAAAGAGCGAGCCTTGGACAGCCAAAAAGGAGTGGGGACGGCAGGATGCCGTGTGGAGATTAATGGGGGTGTCTGTAGAAGCACGGTAGAACCCGGAACCGAAGCCGTGTCCGGACAGGCCCATGCCTTTGCGATGCCAGCGCCAATAGCTCCGCGTTCCCTAACTTCGATGCTCACGTTTCTTCCTAGGGTTCCTTCTTATGCTAGTCGAGATAGACGCCACGTTTAAGCTCATTGCACCCGGAGCGGTTGCATGTCAATCCATTCATACCAGTTCCCCTTCCAACCATTTAGCGAGTGCCAACTCAAAAACACGAAATCCGGGCCAATTGATGTTTCGTCGCCCCCGTCACCCTTCATCTCATCGTAGGCGAGCAGAGTTATATTCCTCAGTGGTTGTGTCACCAATATTGAAGCCTTCGTAGCAACGCGGCCCTCAGTCAAGAATTGGAGTAGGCATTCTCCGGAACCGGCACGGAAATTTGGAACCACCTCTACAACGTCAAATCGAGAATCAATAGACGGAGTTACTTTCCTTACACTCTGCGTTTACTAAAAAGACAGCTGCCATAGTGTATATTAATTTTATGCTTCAGCGGGCGGCATATATTCTAGACTATTAACGCTGTTCTCTACTTACTTCGTAGGAAACTAAGCACGAATACTTTCTAGGAACCGAGACTCGGCAGGGCAGCAATTGGTCTTCATTCCCAGTCTGTGTTTTTCTGATGCAGTGTAGCGTACACTGGGTGGACAAAATAAACGAGACGCTCAGGGAATTACACCAAAACACACCATCTTCTAAATAATATAAAAACTTAATTCTTCTTTACCGAAGGTAGAAATTTATATTCTTATTAAAAAAATTAAAAAGCTTTTATTTTATTTATTTTATTTTATTTTATTTTATTTTATTTTATTTTTCTTTTATTAGGCTCGAAGTCGTCTTTGCTGTGATGTGAGATCCCGCCCAGACCAAGAGTGGAAGGATCCTATACGGAGGTACTTGTGAAATGCCTCCTCTCTGATTCGTACATTCCTTCGTACCTCGTACTCCCCAAGTCCAACAGGACGGACGTTCCTGCCGTGGGCTATCCCGCCCGTGACATTGCACCCGCCTAGATTATGTACGAAGTGGTGTACCCAAGGCAAGTGCTGACCATTGCGACTGCGCGTTCCGAGACTGGACAAAGCTAGCCGCTCGCCTAGCTTTGAATCTGCAATACGTCCATTGTGGCTTGGGGAAGGACGATCCCTTTTGTCTTGCAGATGAAGACAGAAGTCGTCGAAGCTGTTTGGATTCTACACATCTGCGTCTAGCAAATGCATTAGGAAGCACCGCCGAACTTGATTATTCTGTTAAACTTGCGAGGACTAAATGATGGCGATGTTCTCGACGCGTCCTCAGTCATCAGGAACAACTTCCAGGTTCTACAAGGACGAAGTACGCCAGTGTACATACATACAAGTATGGACATTGCCAAAACACTCGGACTCCACCGCCAACCTTAATCCGTCGCTCTTCCCTACGAGGCAATAGTTCGAAGCCGTCAATAATTTCCCAACAAGAACATCCGGCACTTCGCAACGCTGATCCCTCTTAATATTAACATCGGCAAAATTTGCCCTCCTCGTGCTTCTTGCGAAGTACACTAAGGCTAGAATCACTCCAGTTAGTATCTACTAACCCTCAGCTTTCGGCCTGTCCTTATTTTGTACCTATAATATGGTGAACAACCCGGTCAGTCCCCAATGTTACTGTCAATCGCCATTCCCGGAGAAGGTTGGATTGATTGATGTTGCTTTAATTAGCCACCGCCAATACAAGTCCTGCACGACTCCTTCCCCTACCCTGGCCCCATTCCAGTTGGCCGGTTCTCGGCTCTTTCAGGGGAACAAATCCATCGCCGATGGCCCTGCAAATCTGCAGATGACCTCACCGACCTCAACTGGACTCGTCAGTCTGCCAGGATGGGCCTGATACGAGATTGGACCCTGGAACCGGGGTTGATCGAATAAATGATATTCTTAATCTCCCACGATGGAATGTCAAGATGAACTGTGTTTGCCTTGGGAAGGCTAAAGGTTGAAGCCATGAAAAGGCACCACTCCTTTGGTTCGTGGAAAGGAGCATGTAGAATATACTCCTCAACAAGTTGAATAGGCGAAGCAGCGCAATTATGAAACAAAACGACGCCAACTTTCCTAGCACGAACGTAAACGCCAGTCTAAACTATGAAGGGTAGGGAAATGCTTATTCTAATGCCAGCCCCTTTCCCAGACAAGCGCAGGCCTTAAGAGGACTTTATTTTCGATAATTGGCCTGTTCGATTCAATCAATCCTGGCTTTGTAAAAGAGAAAATGCTTTGTCTGACGGCTTCGGCTCCGGCTCTATTCAGTGCTGATAAACTGCCCCCCGTGTCCGATGAGAAGCGGGACGATTGAGGTGCAAAGTCGGAGCAATTCTGGAGCTGACTTACAAATCAGTGGGCTTTCCAGCAATGAAGTCATAGGCGTTAAAGGCCCGGCCATAAGGAACATGAGGAACCATGAGGAACAGCAGGAACTGGAACATGAACACCTCCACCTCTGTGCCTCTCACATGCATCACAGCCTGTTCCTTTATTCCAAGATGGCGTGTCGCTTGATGGAGATAAGAATCATTCGGATTTCTACTATTTTCTCATCGATCCTGCTGAGAAAAAATGGAGCCGACTCCTCACTTTAACTCCGGAGAGAGGCAGGTCGTCTGATGAGATCCTCTCTGCGGCGTCGTCGGGACCCTGGAAACAAGATCATATATAATCGATCGCATCGTCACATAGTCTCTAGTCTTTCACGACCGTGCAATTACATCTTTCTTTATATATATATATTTCTGTACCCAGGGGAGAACAATAAACATGGCTACTCCATCATCAGATGCCCCATTCCTCCTTGTTGGCGGCACTGGCACCGTCGGCAGCCGTCTTGCCTCCATTCTCCAATCGACGGGAAACAAGGTCCTCATTGCCTCCCGCTCCGACACCTCCTCTCCCAACAATAACCATGTCAAATTCGACTGGTTCGACGACTCGACGTACTCCAATGCGTTTTCCCATCCTCTAGCCGTATCCTCGGGTGGGCTACGAGGTGTGTACCTGATTGCGCCGCCGTCCCTGGACATGGTCGCGGCTATGAAGTCGTTTATAGATCTCTTGAGATCGAAGGGCGTGCGTCGATTCGTACTGCTGAGCGCTACGAGCATCGCAAAAGGCGACCCTATTCTCACGGGTCTGATTCATGAGTATTTGTATCAGCTTGGGGAGGCTGGTGAAGTGGAGTGGGCTGTTTCGAGGCCGACTTGGTTCATGGGTATGTAGAGTCCCTGGCAGTTCTATGGAGCTGGACGGAGCAGATACACGCATACTGACAACATCGAAAGACAACTTTGTATCTCATAAAGCCCGCTTCGAGTCCACGCCCGAAGGCACCTTTGTCTACTCGGCCACTGGACAAGGGCGCATCCCATTCGTGGCCGCCGACGACATCGCAGCAAGCGCCGCGCAGCTCCTCACGGCAGCAGAGCCGCCCAACAATGACTTTTTGATTCTCGGTCCAGAGTCAATTACTTACGGCGACGTAGGTCTCTCCTTTCATTCCTCCCTCTCCATGTTAATGTCTTCATATATATATATTTTTTCTTGTGAGAGAGGGACATCTGTGGCTAAAATTAATCAACAGGTGGCTTCGATTCTTTCCGACGTTCTCCAGAAGCCTGTGGTTCACAAAGACCTCTCGGTCGAGGAGATGCAGCTTCGGTTCCAGGAATTTGACATTCGGGAGGAGTACGCCGCCGTCCTCAGTGCCATGGAGACGGCGATCAAGAATGGCTCGGAGGATAGAACGAATGACGCCGTGCTTACTTTAACGGGGAGACCGCCAAAGACGTTTAGGGAGTGGGCGGAGGAAAACAAGTCTGCGTTGGGAGCCTGAAATGCAAGAGGGTCGGATGGAGGCGTATGTGATAAGAGGCGTGGGAGGCTGGACAGGTGGATGGAGTGAAGTACACCCCGAGAAGTTACCAATCTAGCATGTGCTTCATTTCATCTCGGGACATCCAAGTCCCCTCGTCTCTAGATTTATTTCCAGAACATGTTTTCGTGATCACCCACCCCTTCACTGGTAGAGGCACGCAGTCTACGTTGGTGAAATAGGAAGGCACCTTGATCGAGCGCCAGAACTTACAATGCTAGCTGCCGCAGCCTCGGACGGATCTAGAGCAGTGGAATCGTTTGCATACATCAAAATACTACGGTTTAGTATTTACTATAAGGCGAATAGTACGATACCAAGTAGAAATTGCCCTAATATAAGTAGAAAAAAAATGCAAACTCCCCCCCCCCTGGTTTCGAACCAACAATATCTCCAGCTCAACTCTTTCCAGAAATATATCACAACCTCAACAGAACCCCAAAGAAAGACTCGAGATGCACTCTCGCAGAAGAGAAGGGAAGAGAGAAAAATAATCTCTAATCTGATCCAGCAAAAAAAGAATTCCCACTTCTCCCTCCCCAATTCCCAAATTTCCATTTCCCATATCCTCCACGTCTCATGGTTTGACCAGACCGGGTTCCACGCCGGCGCCTTGCGGAAGTAGTTTATAAGCAGTGCGTCACCGCTCGACCAGTTGAGCTTCCATGAGACGGTGAGAATCCGGAGCCAAATTTTCGTATATAACACATAATACACAAACCGTCTCCCTCGAACGGGAGGTGCGTTCCAGACGAACCTTCCACTTCCACCCGAGATCCGCGATATCGTTCCCCCCGCCCGGACTTACCCCATATGAAGTCGTGGAAATCGTAACGAAGGATATTGATCACACACCTTATATTATTCCAGGTCATGTGTAGGGCGGGAGCCTGAAGGCCGATGATCCTTTTAGCTGGAACAACAACAGGCAAACGTACATGGACAGCCCGTCGATGAGTGGTCGTCAGCCTAAAGATCCCCGGCATGGGGGAGATACGTCTCTCAAGGCTTCATCAAAAGTCCATATATTAGAACGATGATATGCTGTCCTAACCCAAGAAAAGTGCAGAAAAACGCCTCTAGATCTAATCAACTTTTGCTCATGTCCTCATAGCCACACTCACGCAACCAACTCTACAGCTCACTCCCGCTCAATACCTCCTAATCCCCTTCTTCTCCGCCTCCGCATCCTTGAGCGCCTGCGCATTAATCTCGATAGCCTCCATCAACTTCCCCACAACCTCCGGCTGCTCACTAAAAACCTCCCTCAACTTCTGCCCCAACTCCGTCTGGATCTTCCCCAACGACCGCCCGCCCGCCCTACCCCCCGATGACGCATCATTCATCTGCGCCGCCCACCGCCTCGTAAACGCATAAATCGACTGCCTCAGCAATTCATCGAGCTGCTCGCTCATGTCCTCCACCGTGAGCGTCTTGGCCGTCACGGCGGGCGCAGGGGAGCGCGCGGGGGACCAGAGGGTGCCGCCGACGATGTTGGTGAAGAAGCCGAGCCAGTTGCCGGGGGACATGGTTTCCCAGATGCGGGTGAAGTGCTGCATCGAGGAGGAGGCTTGGCTGCGGATGTCGCCGATTTCGAGGGAGACGAGCTCGTTTTTGAGCACAAGGAGGTTTTTGATAGTGAATAGGTCCGGGTCGATGGGGGATGATTTGGTGGATTTAATTTTGGATTCGACGCGTTGGAGGATGTGGATTGTTTCGCGAACGATTCTGAAGACGACGGGGCTGTCTTGTTGCTGTGGGTATAACAAGTTAGCTACATACGCCATCTTTTCACCTGAGTGGCAGAACCTAGATCAGTGAATCACTTACACAACGCTCCTTTGGCATGCATTGGTCAAACATGGCAAGAAGCTCAATAGCTCGCTTGAGAACCGGATGAACACCCGCAGACTCCACCGATATCTCCGCCCTCGCTATAGACTTGGTCGTCTCCGCCTCGAAAGCATTATCCGTAAACGCCCAAAGATGCTCCGACAGCAACGAGGCCGTATATTGTCTACACTGGCTCGTAAACGGCGACTCATCCTCCTCGTAGTACTCGGAGATGAGGTACTCGTGGGTCAGCCAGCCCACGAAATTGCAAATCTTGGTCAGGTCGGTCGGGGGCTGCAACGCCGTCTGCAGACTCGTCGCGAGGGGCTTCAGGTTAGCGGGCGTGATGAGCCACCGTTGACTGGACCGCAAGGCCTGGAATGCGGACTCGGGGGAAGTGCTCGGGAGGGCGGTGATGGAGAAGATCTTGGTGAATAGGTTGCCTTCGTTGTAGGCCCGCTCGAAGCACTGCTTAGTGAAGGTGCGGCATGCGCTTTCGAGCGCCGGGGTTTTGGCTTCCTTTTCGAAGGCTTCGATCTCGCGCTGGACTGACAGTCGGAGGTCGCGGTCGCGTGTCGAGAGGTAGGAGTGGAAGATGTTGTTGGCCGTGTTGGTGTATATGTCCGATGCTGTCCCGGACCTTGGATTCCCTTCCTCGTCGTACGCTTTGCGTATCACTTTGCAGACATTGGGAATCAGGGAATATGATTCTAGTATCATCTCCTCAAACCTGCCGTATGCCAAGGCGTACAATGTAGATTCGGATTGCGTGGATCCAAGCTGTCGAGAGATATCCTGGGACACCGTCTCCAAATGCTTAGAAAACCCAACTTCCAGCAGGTGTAGCGCTTTCGTCAATAATGACTGGTACCTCGCCAGGTAAGACTCGGCATCCCTGTAGGTAGACTTTTTTTCGTTTGTTAGTAGCTGCCGATCTCTAAGACGCTTCTCAACATACGTGTTTTGTCATAAAGTCTATGCAGCTCTCCAGGTCATCCAAGACTTCGGCGAGATCATGGTGTTCAGCAAGCCTGCCAGCGCCAGGAGCGTTCAGTCGTCTACTGACATTCTCGAGGTACGCATAGTAATATAGACTCGTTCCGACTTCGTTTGCAAGTTTCTCTAGCCGGGCCTGGTCCTTGAGGAGGGTGTCGCAGCGAGCCTGGAAGGACGACGTTTGGGCCTCGACAGACTTGAATGACGTCGACAAAGTTGTCAGTAAAGCAAGACTCTTGTTGGCATCCTGAATCAAGGAGTCGAGATGGTTCTCGGCAAGGGACAACTGGTCACGGTATAGGCTGTAGAGTTAAGCAATGTCAGCGCAATGCTTTAGTGCGATATGGGTCTATGGCGTGTCTAGTTTCGTCGCACCTATATCCTCGCCGGCTCTCCTGTAGTAATTGGTCGGTACTCGTGTCTAGAACTGGTAGAATAGCAAGCTCATCTCGGCGCTTTGAAGTCGGTATATCCAAGGCATCCCAATTCCTATCTCCGGACGTCTTCACCCGGCTTGTTCCAGGCGGTGTTGGCGCATCGTCGCTCGAGGAAGTTGAGAGATGTCTGAGATTGGAAAACGAACTCGCTCGGCGAGCTACGGTCGGTTCCGGGGGACTATCGTCGTCTTTCTCTAGGATATCGGTGAGAGAAGGAGGCTGGTGAACAACGGTATGGGTGCCCTGGGCAGCAGCGTGTTAGCTGGATATGCATTTATCTTTTAAGGGAAGGGATCCCGCGATTCGTACATTGGGCTGCTGGAGAAGGGACTCCTTCCGCTTGTGTCCTTTGGCGGGATTTGCTGCTGTCGCTTTCTTTCCAGTCAGGTCGGGGACGAAACTGTACCAGGACGATTCTTCGTACATCTTTGCGCCTCCCGCTCGGGTGCCCCAGACGCGAGTTTTTGGGCGAATTCGTTGAAGCCAGTTGACACTTGACAGCTCCGAAGCCCCCCAAACGGTCTATATGGTGGGGATCAAGGTACTGAGGTAGTTTATGAAGCACGGTACGTACTCGTCATCCCAATGTGGGGCGAGCTTAAAAGCTCCTGGCAGCTGTTAACGGATGACAGACGCGCCTGGGAAATATCACAAGCTTCCCACTGCTCAACGTCTCAAATTCTTCTTTTCCCCTTCATCACAACCAGTCTGGGATGGCCAGGCCGATCAACGTAATGTAATTATTATGAGTTTACTTTCAAGAGGGAGCGCTCTACGGCGGACCTAGAGGTCATTCGAGACGGTTTCATACAACATTGAAGTCCTCGAGTCCAACCAACATCTGGAAACTCGACGTCCTCTCCTCACTCAAGGAACCAGGAGGAACCAAGTTCCCCTAAATCGGCTTGTCGCCAACTCGCAGCTGATAAAAGAGAGCGACAAGGGACTCACGACGGGCCAGCACGATTCCACCCCACAACATTGATTCCCCGCGGCACGGCTTCGGTCAGCGATGAGTCACGATACTGCTCGCGCATACCGGTTTCCCACGAGCCAGCATTCTTGATATCGCTTTGGCCTGAAGCTGGCGCCTCGGCTCTATTTCGAATTAGAGACAAAGACTGTTAAAACAGTTGCAAATCTAACCGCTCTTGTTAGCAGGCTCCCGCCGTGACCAACCAAGGGTTGCACTCACGTTGCTCCAGCCAACGTCAACTCTATCATTCTCGATCTTGTCAGCCTCGACAAAATCGCCAAATAGCACGCTGTGGACATGATAATGACGAAAACTCGTGCGCCAATGCTATCTACGAGAATGCAGATGACGACAGGCATGAGAAGCAGAAAGATTATCAGGAACAACATTAGGCCTGTGGCAATAGCCTTGATCATCGTGCCCGAGTAGATATACACATCCGGGTTGGACGAGATGTCGAACCCCGGACTCTGTTTTGTGTATTTTCCTGTTCCGTTAGCTTTCTCTCGACTTTGTTCATCTTGGAGTCACGTACGGCTCGAAACCCTTTGTAATGTTGTACCAACCGGTCTTCAACCCAGTCTTCTAGCCGCTTCATAGCATGATCGTGCGAAGATGCGAGGCTAACCAGATCGCCTCGCCTTTCGAGGTACGACGTCTCGTCTTCGTCGATGCAGCCCGTCCCTTCCAGCCAGTTCTGGAGGCTCTCCACTTCACGCGGGTTCGCGCGGGTGTAGCTCAGCATCTGGCGGCACCGGTCCATGAAAGCATCTAGAGCGCGATTTAGAATGCCGTCAACGGGAAATTGCTGGGAGTAAGTGTACCGTAGTCGCCGAGCTTCGAGTGGATCTTGGCAAGGAGTGCGGACCGAGCCGTGTTCCTGTCATCACGACATGTCCCCAGGAAGAAGGGCGAGACTTCCTCGCGGTCCTCTCGGTGGAGCTGCGACTCGAGGACGTCAAGTTCGTTCTGCATCGAGCAGAGCAGTCTCGCTCGTAGCTGACGGAAGGACCGGAATGCGAAAAACGGGTCGTGGGATGAAATGAGGGCCGAGTACTGCGGATATCCTGCCGGATAATCCTCAACTACAGCGCGTAAGCTCGTGAGCTGGCATTTCGTCATAAATATGGGGGGAGCGTACTACGAGGTGAGGTGATCTTGGAATCCCCGGTGGTAGCGTGGACTGGGAGGAGCTCGCCTTCCGAGCCAGCAACCGCTCCTAGCTGGAGAGTCCAAGCCTTCCAGTTGAAGAGCGCAGCCATGGACTTGACTCGATCCATTTTCTATATGAAATCACAACAGTATCAGACGTGCGTTCAAGTCTGAAATGAATCACTTTGCCTTGGCGGTAACCTCAGTTCCGGAAAACGCAGCTGAAGTATCGACCACCGGAATATGGTATGTCTATATTTACTCCTCTATATTTACTCCCAATGGATTCACGACGACAAGGGACAGATCTACACTTATTTGGCTGTGGGAATACCCTCTTGGGACCAGTGATAGCGACAACAACGACAACCGCCCCCAATGTTGATTACTGTCGCTTTATCAACCACACCCTACGTTAGGAAATTGTTTCCTAGGGCTCAAGACATATTGTTGCAACCCTTGAACCTATGCAAGTCTGCCCAAACCTGAAAGTGCGGGGCAAAGCGGAAAAGATGCAACAATCATCCACAGATCCATCGGATTGGACCTTAACCCTCGAGTGGTAGGGTGCGGTAGGAGAAAGTGAATATGCATCTCCGACCAACGGGATAACATGAAGTCTTTGCCGGGAAATCTCGGAACCCGCGGGCTGAGTAAAGGCCAGTGGTTGAAAGAGCAAGGGCAATTCGACCCCGTCCCGCCCCGGGGGGGCCAGCCAGAGCCTCGGAAAGTGAGGCTGGCTCGCACTCTATCAGGCATACCGTTGACAGGGAGTTTTCTGCCTTACTTCGTTGGGCATAGAACATTGATGAAGCTTTGCTCCTATACCTTCTGTCCCATAGTCTGTTTCATCAAGTAACCACAACTTCTTTTACCAGTCACCGAAGCTTGAAACATGTCGAACTCTCAATGGTAAGTCCAGCACACAGCCTCTCTGTTGCGCCCCGACACTAACGCTACCAACCACAGCCGCCTGCAGCCGATTGTGACTGGCAGTGATTCTGAATCGGATGATTCTGGCCGCGGCCTAGTGTTAAAGCCCAAGCAGGTGCGTCCTCATCAAGGCTGAGTGAAGGCCGCAAACTGCACATTATTGGCATACATCGCGATGGCAAAACCCCGCATGTGTACTGACAGGACGGGAACGGAAGAAACTAGAGTTCAAACGAGGCCAAATTGTATATATCCGAGCCTCTGGAGACCGCGCTCGGGAAGGGCCTTTCAAGATCGAAAAGGTGTTAGTAGATGTAAGGAAGTTTAGGCTGTGTTATATCGACACCTTAAAAACGGCCATGGAAGGTAGGGAATTTGAGGCTAGAGAGCTAGAAAGGTAGAGGCCATCGCGCCGCCGGCAACGAAGAGGCGTCGAGCTCCTGTATCAATATCGGTGACGTGTTCCTTGGTACTTAATCGACGGGTGGACCAGAACCGAAGCCATCAGTGGGAGTATAACGGAAGGGCGATCCATACACAATGCATGCCTACCCCATTAACGTTGACGTTCTCGATGTGAAGTATGCCATTCCTATTAGACGGATCTAGGGCTGGACGTTGATGGATACGAGGCTCGCATCTTCTCTGCCATCACCTCCTCATCTTGCACCCAATGTGCACAAATGCGCAACTCGAGTTGCACTTTGTAGCTTTAGCCAATTGGAGCAGAGTTGGTTCGTCCATTTAAGCCTGATAAATGGCTTCTCGCTAGAAAGGGTGGCATTCATTATTCGAGCGCTCGACGTCCCAGCCGTCCGATCGCCTTCGCAACCTCTGCTCCACGAAAGTCACCCTGCTGTTCTTTCAGGGTAACTATCTTGTGTTACGCCTTGTTGCCATATCTCGATCTTAAACTATAACACATCGCGTATCTTTCAATAGGCATAATGGTCGATCAAAACGCGCAGCCCCGTCGCTATGCGATCCTAATCGGAATCAACGCCTACCCTAACAATAGCGATTCCGGATATCCCGCGGCCCCGGAGCTAAAGGGATGCGTCAATGACGTGGAAAAGATCACCGAAGCTTTGAAAACGTCTGTCAGAAATGTCACAATCTACACTTTCACGGCGACCACCAACCCGGATCGAAAGCCGTCGCAACCTGCGTGCGTCGAACCAAGGGAGAGATGGCCCACGCACAGCAACATCTCATCCTGCCTTGACCGGGTCTTCCACCATGGAAAGCCAGGCGACCACGTTTACATACATTACTCCGGGCACAGTACTGTGGTGCCAGGGCCTAACAAGGACCCGGGTGACTTGGCCCTGGCTCTCTTGGAAGGGCAAACTGCGTCCGAGATGGTTTACTTCCACGGCAAGGAACTGGCCGAGAGGCTAAGAGACATGGTCGATAAAGGCCTTGGTGTGACGATGGTCCTCGACTGCTGCAGCTCCGGGGGCGTGCCGCGAAACGATGATGCTGTTCGATACGTATCCTACTGTCCCGAGATCGAGCAGAAATACTCGCCAAGAGACCCAGAAGACCCCTCTCCTGGTAAGAAAGGCCGCCTAGAAACTGGCAACCAGGACAATAGTGGGGGTCTACGCCGGGCGTCCATGCGCCCCAACTGGCTGGCCAATCCGTACGGCTACGCCATCCTCGCCTCGGGCGATGCCAGGGAAGCGGCGTACGAGGTTCGGTTCCCGGAGCCTGAAGATGGCCCTCGACATGGAACGTTGACATACTTCCTCCTCGACACATTTGCCATGCTTGGCGGGGTGGGCGGAAGCATGCAGCATCTGTATGACAGCATCGAGGTCAAGGTCCGGAATCACCGCCGTCTCCACGTCCATAAAACCCAAACTCCTCTGCTCCTCGGGAATGGGAAGCAGCTTTTCTTTGGCTGCCACCGACTCGGTTGCGTGGGTGACATACCCATCACCGAGACCATAGAAGGAAACACGGACGGAAGGCAAACAAGACTCCGTCTTCATGCTGGAAAAGCACATGGGATCTCCCAGGGTGACCGTTTTACCCTGCGGCCGCTGGGCGTGTCTTCTCCGGTCAGCGAGTTCCCCGTGACTGCCGAGGCATACGATGTTCGGGGCGTTACATCGTATCTCGAGGTAGTGGGCGAAACGGTCAATTCCCTGCCCGTCGAGACTGGCTGGCTCGCAACGGCTACTACGCGTCTCGCCTTGCGACGATTCCCCATCCGGCTTGAAGTCTTTGAGAATCGTCTCGCAGAGTGGCGGGAAGCAATGCAGCAGCGAGTATCGCTGATGGAACTCGATGGCGGAGCTCAGAAACCCGCGTCTTTTTCTATCGTCCAAACGAATGACGCAACCTACGACATCTGCGACGAGTCTCGTCAGACTCTCACGACAGTAGTCGAAGATTCAGAGATGACAATACAGAAAATCCTAGGCCAGATCCAGCATCTAGCCTCCTTCAAGCTTGTCCGCGATAGAGTCAACAAGGAAAGCCGCTCTCAATTCCGAGGCTCTTTCAGCGTTCATCTTGTCAAGAAGAACGGCGCAGAGAATTCACTGTTGGAACCGGGGTGTTTGAAGACCGGAGACCTCTACGATGCATGTCTCCATCCCGAATGTGTGCGCACGGTGACCGGGAGGGATGAGGTTCGGCTTCGTATGGAGAATAAAGCGGTCGAGGACGACGCGCCCAAGGTGTATCTATATGTATTCGGGCTATCATCTGAGTGGGAAATCGAGGGGTTGCCCATGGCGAGTCGGGTGGTCGTCCAGCCGAGGAGCCGCGATGAATACGGGACAGTAGAGGAGAGGAAGATCACCTTCAGCGTTGGGGAGGGGCAGGAAAAGTGCGAGGACGTTATAAAAGTCTTCGTCACGGCCCAGCCGTCATCTTTCTCCATGCTGGAATTGCCGAAGCTGGGTCAAGCTGCTCACTGGGCGCAGCCGCAAATGGCCGGAGAGAGAGGCGGTCGGGCTTCTGAAGACTGGGCTGCGCTGACATTTCGGGTTCAGTTCGTACCATAGAAAGCTACTAGTGGAAAGACAGACGGAACATGAACACTAGATCTCCGTAGATAGGGGCCCGGTAAAAAGAGGAGCTTGTATGAGTTCAAACAGACCAACAATGGGTATAGCCATAGGGCACAGAAATTGTCATTATGAACAAGATAGGCTACTAGCAGCACGTAAGTACTTACTCTCAGGCACCGAAATGGACAAAAGGGATCCAACTTGCCCCCTTCCCCGTCGGCTCATCCCCGTCGACGTACCCAGCTCCAACTTTTCTTGCGTCAGTGCCATTATCAACTCCTTTGCTATTTCTATCTTCATTCCGCAAGTCTCTAGCTGCCTCGTGGAGGCTCCGAGAAACAAAATCGTCCTTCATGTCCTCCCCAAACAGAGACTTATATATCGCCGTCGCCATCCTCAGGCTAGAATAGTCGTCAACCGACCACAAGGTACCAATGACGTGGCGAAACCCAGCCAATTGGCAGGCGCTGATGAGGTGAATGCTCTCATATTGGAACTTTGCCATGGTGACCTGTCCCGTATCGCATGCGGAGAGATAGGCCAAGAATGGGCCGTTGTCACGGTTCATGTTCAGACTCGCATCGAAGACGCTTCCTACCGTCATGGGGTCTGTTTTCCAGTCTGGAAGAACCAGAAGGCTGCGCAAAGGATCGGTGACGTCCTCCTTGCCGTGGCCTGCAAAGTGAAATATCGGGCAGTCCTGGAGAGCCGAGAAGACGTTCTGCATGTGCGCCGTATCATCGATGAGCGGGATGCAGTCGAAGCCTTTAGATACGAGGTGGCGCTTCACATTCTCAACCTCGCCGACAGGGAAACTCAGGGGTGCATAGTCTGGTGCGTTTGGTACAGCGACGAGGAGAGCCTTGCATTCCTTTGGCCGTGGAGGAGAGTAGGGACGACTCCGCGCGCGCAAGAGCGCCTTGATCGACGAACTGTATGAGGACACGACGCAATCCATCACACTATCTGCCAAGCCGGCAGAGTGGTAACCTGCGGCGTGAAACGGGAACTTGGTCAGAATGCCGGTAGGAATCCACCATATGCGCGGCAAGGGCTCTCTCGGTGATGGCCGAGTCAACCCGAGTTCTTCCAGGATCGGCCTGGCGATAGAATCCCAGAGCCATTGTAGGGCAGCGGGACTATCCATCTTGCGGGACCTTTTCCCTAGA